CTTTATTTATTTTATTTATTGATTATTTATTCTCTTGTCGTTTGTTGCTCCTGGTTTAAAAAGTTTGAGACGCTCAAATCTTAAATGTCGTTTTATTTAATGATTTAATAACTTTATAATTAATAAAAACTTTCTGTTCTTAATGTGAAAAAATCAGTCTGTGTCTGCAGCAGTTTTACAAATATATTTTAATAAAAAATCAACTATTACAAATTCAAAGACTCCGTCATAAATGTACAGAATAATTCACCAAACAGTTGTACACATCACAGAACTAAACCAGGACTGAACCAGGACTGAACCAGGACTAAACCAGGACTAAACCAGGAGTAAACCAGGACTGAACCAGGACTGAACCAGGACTAAACCAGGACTGAACCAGGACTAAACCAGGACTGAACCAGGACTAACAGAGAACCAGGACTGAACCAGGACTGAACCAGGACTGAACCAGGACTAAACCAGGACTGAACCAGGACTGAACCAGGACTGAACCAGGAGTAAAGCAGGACTGAACCAGGACTGAACCAGGACTAAACCAGGACTGAACCAGGACTAAACCAGGACTGAACCAGGACTGAACCAGGACTGAACCAGGAGTAAAGCAGGACTAAAGCAGGACTCATGTTTCAGTTTGGTTCTTCTGGTCTGTTTGAGGATTTGGTGTTTAGTCCAGATTCGACTGATTCTGTGATTCTGTTTTCTGTACTCTGTGTTGCAACACTGGAAATTCACCGTCTTGTTTCATTTTATTTAATCATATTTGATCTTATGTGATCGTGTGTCACGTGACGTGTTTTGTGCCGTTCTACTCGTGTCCAAACCACACTCAGAGTGTAAAAGTTCTTGAGTGTGGCTCCACAAACACCAGATTTGTTTTTTTCTTTACACAAACATTTTAGAAGAAACATTCAGATTTTCAGAGTCACGTCAGAACGTCACCAGAGCGTGAAACGTCTGTGCGTAAAATGGTCATTACGCACAGTTTTACGCACAGTTTTACGCACAGTTTTACGCACAGACTTTTCCGTCGCTCGTGTCAAACCTCGCGCTGCAAAAGTTTGTCAAAAGTCAAACTCAGACGTGAGATTCAGACAGAGAGAAAAAAAAGTCAAGAATTTTATTTAAACAACATTTGTCATGAGATAAAGATGAAGTGAACCGACCCGCGGGACTCGGGGGACTCGGGGCCTCCGCGGCCTGCGGGGCCTCCGCGGCCTGCGGGGCCTCCGCGGCCTCCGGGGCCTCCAGGGCCTCCGCGGCCTCAGTCCTCGCCGCTGTCCGCGGCCTTGCGCGCGCCGCCCGCCGCCCGCAGCAGGCGGCGCGCGGCGCGGCGGATCTTGGAGAGCTTGAGGCCGTAGATGAGCGGGTTGAGGACGGGAGGAACCAGGAGGAACTCGATGGCGAAGAAGTTGGAGAGATGCTGCGAGATGTTCGCGGAGCCGAAGCGCATGTACAGAAGGTCCAGGAGCGTGGAGCACGAGTACGTACACAGCGACGCCAGGTGAGGCACGCACGTGTGCAGGAAACGGCGCGTGCTCTCGCGGCTCGCCACGCACGTGCGCACGAGGTACAGGTACGTGTAGAGCACGAACACGAAGTGTCCGAAGTAAAAGAGCATGTTGAAGTAGGACACGGCCACGTTCCCCGGCGGGGGCGCGCACGTCAGCGACGTGACCATCCAGTTGACGCAGTAGATGCGCCGGATCGTGGAGCCGCAGAGCGCGCGCCCGAGCAGCGTGGCCGTGTTCATGAACATCGCGGTCAGCGGCACGAGCCACGACGCGAGCACGAGCAGCCACACGCGCGTCTTCGTCATGATCACGTGGTAGACGAGCGGGCGGCAAATGGCCACGTAGCGGTCGTACGCCATGAGCGTGAGGATGGAGAAGTCCCCGCACGTGGACGAGTGGATGACGAAGCCCTGCAGCATGCACGCGCCGTACGACACGGGCACGAGCCGCACCAGGTCCGCGAGGAACTTTGGGTAGAAACCCAACGTGCCGTAAAGCGCGTTCACGCACAGGTTACACAGGAAGATGTACATGGGCGCGTGCATGGACTTGTCCAGAGCCACGATGAAGATGATCCCGAAGTTTCCCACGAGGATCACGACGTACCACAAGAGCACGAGCGCGAACAACAGCGCCCTCTGCTGCGGAGAGAAGGAAAAACCCGAGAGAGACAGAGCCGGGAACGAAGACGAGTTCTCCATCAGAACCGGGACTAGAACTGGACTAGTACTGGACTGGGACTGGACTGGGACTGGACTAAACCAGGACAAGGACTGGACTAAAGCAGAACTAGAACAGTTTTAGAACTGGACTAAAACTGGACTAGAACTGGACCAGACCAGGACTAGAAAAAGAAAAAACTTAAACGGGACTAAAATAGGACTAGAACTGGACAAATTAAAATGAATATAAGTTGCTGCTTTTGGCTTCAGACCTTCACAGATCAAATCTCAAAACACTTCAACACAGAAGTAGTAGTAGCAGTT